AGTATTTAGGTAATCGTGTCTAGACAAGTTGTGACGATTTAGCTGAGACCAAAGATAGTACATAACAAGATGGGCCACTCAGCCAAAAAAGTGTCCGCCGGAAGTCCGCTCTTCGCTTCAGATGGCGCTGCAGTCTGATTTGAAACTCTCTTTCGTTTTTCCAGAAAAAGAATAGGAATAGCACCTCCTTGCGTGGGCAGATCGACTGCTGTTCATCAGCAGTTCGGGTTCGTTCAGTGTGGAGTTTTATTTTTTATTTTATTTTAATGACCTCTAGATTTTCATTCTAAAGTCAAATTAAACGAAGAAAACAATCACCCTTTCCTCCGGAAGAGGTTTTTTGGTTACCAATTTTAAAAAAGCGTTCTTCCGAAATTCATTAAAAAACTTGCTAGTTTCACTTAAATTTTTTACACTCAAGTAGGATAACTCTGTTCGCAAAAAGTGCGAAGAGGGCGCCACCGAATTTTGAGGACACTTTTTTAATTGGCTCAAAGAGAGCAGTATGCAGTTGCGAGCGCCGTAGAACACTTTACAAAAAAACAAACAAAAGAGAGCAGTGGCCCCTCTTGTTGTGTAGACTCTTTGCTGAGACTCAAACAAATTATTTGTAAAGGAGAGAGAGAGAGAGAGAGAGAGAGAGAGAGAGAGAGAGAGAGAGAGAGAGAGAGAGAGAGAGAGAGAGAGAGAGAAATATATACCCAAGTATGAGAATAAAAACAAAAACTAAGTGAAGTACGGGAGGAAAGTCAACTTTGCAGAAAATATTAGTATTGGAAAATAAAAACACAACAGTTCTAAAAAGGCAATTCAATTTACCAGATTTTTTAGCAACTTTAAATTAAACCAATGAGGATAAGTGGTTGGCGGGCGCTCTGGTGTGGTTTGCTTCTTCTTTCCTATGAAACATCTATCGTCCGTATCTCCCCTTCTTCTTTTTTATGTTTGTTACTCTCTTGTAACACCTCTAATCTTCTGGCGTTCATATGACCATATGCAGTTATTGTGAGCGCCGTAAAACCTCTACTAAAACTAACTAAAATGAGGATGAATCAGGGTTGCCGATGAGGATTTTGCAAAATCACTAGATAGATTTCATGAAAAGCTTCTCTCTTTTTGTTAAAAAATCACTAGATTCATTTCAAACGCTTGCCCCCTCACCCCCCCCCCCCCCCCCTCTCCTAGGAAAACTTATCAGTTTTGATAAAAAAATAATTCTCAAGGCCCTAAAGTCACTTGCTTTGGCAGCCCTGGGATAAATTTATAACGTATAGGTATCGATGTTTAGAGCAGGTATCGGTACCGATACCCATGTTCCAGGTCAAGATTTGCAGTTCCGGTTCAAATTTGTCGGAAAGACGAGGAATCACAATAATCGTTAGTTTGTGAGTATAATATATTGTTAAAAAAGAAGTGCAATATAAATGATTTCAGACATCATATGACATTTGAAATATTAGAATTAGGCCTAAAATTTGTTTGGTAGCATGTGGCATGATCTATTAGGAGGGTATTTTGAATGGGAAAGTGGGGTTTTAGTTTCTCCAACCTGTCGTGGAAAGGCGGCTTCGGGATAATCCGCCCGACATGTTGGACAAGTCAAAGTGTCCTGTGTGTGATTTCTACAAATCTTTTGTCGTAAGTCGAAATAATAATTAGAAGACATCTAAATCTATGCTTCGAGGATTTTTTTCGTAATTATTACCAATTAAAATTAAAATGATAACAGTAGCAATTCATAAACGGCCTACACATTGGTGGTGATCATGATGATAAATTTTAAACGGATAAAATTGAACGTCAGAGACTTGACTTCATATTTTCAAACAACGTCCTTTTGTAGATTCTTGGTTTGATGTTGAAGTGAAAAGCTTATAGTCTATATATATTGACTATATAGAATAGAGTCTACTAGATCTAGATATTAAATTATAGATCTAGAATCTAGATCTAGATATCTAGCCTAGTACTAGTACTGTGTTGGGTGATCTTGTAGTTCCGTTCGTTAAAGTCCACGATCCATTTGTTTGCATCCAGAGAAGAAATCCAGAAGTCTTGATGACCAAATACTATTTGAAATAGGCTGCACAAAGAGTAGGGATGCAACCTAACTAATAAACATCAAATTAGGATAAAATTCAGCATGCCCCCTTAACCCCCCCCCCCA